TTATCTGCTAAAAAGGCCTCAATGCGGTATACAGCAATTTAAAACACAATAAAAAGATAAAGACAAAATAATCAAATGCTATATTCAAGCTGAATATTTCCCCAGGAAGACCTCATGAAATAATAATATTTATATTTTTAGGATGCACTGGAAACAACACAATGTTGGTGCCTGCATGACTTTCAGAGGAAGGACGATTCCTCAATAGAGGCCCACTCAATGAGGTCCCTTTTCCAGGTGGACTCCAGCCAGACCATAGATCTATGGAGAGCCACTAGAAGCTTCCTCTGTAATAACTTCAGTGACTGGCAGGTTGTTAAGGGGAAAGGCACTCCTTTAGGTATCTGGGTTCCAAGTTTGTTTAGGGCAAAGGAATTGCATAAGAAGGAGCTGAACTGCTGCATTTTGTATTTCCCTCAGTTTCTGGAACAGCCTTAAGGGCAGGTCCAGATAAACTGCACTGCAGTGACCCAGTCTTCACATATAACAATGGAACCGTTTTTGTGCAATTTACCTTTACTCCTTTGCTTCCTTACTGTAGGGCTTTTCCGTAAATTCAGAAAGGAAACATGGAGTTTCTGGGATGAGAGGGCTAGAGTTGCAAATCAGTGGTAGAGCACATGTATTGCATGGACAAAAACCTCAAGCTTCCATCCCTGGCATCCCCAGGTAAATGCACCAGATGGCAGGTGATTGGAAAGACCTCTTTCTGCTAAGAACCTGGAGAACTGCTGCCAGTTGGAGGAGACTATATTGGGCTAGATGGACAAATAAGCTGATTTGCCATAAGGCTGTGAGGTTCTGAGGCAGCACCAGGGCTTCCTCTTTTGGCCAGAGACCAGAGTAGCTGCCCTGGTGGTTGCAGGATCAGGCCCACAGCCACCTGGGATGTTATGAGCACCACCCAGGAGCCCTGAGGAAAGAGCCATATAAAAAACTCTTATAAAGGCTCTTTCCTTCAGAGGCTGCCTCAGTAATGGAGGTCTTCAGTGTTGTTTGAGTGCTCTGTGCCTCCTGGAACCTGTTTCTGGAAACTCTGCCTCTTGTCTTGCTCCCGCCCCTGCTTCTGGACCATGCATAGCTTCATCTGCTCCACCCTCTGCTCCACTACCAGGTATCCACTTCTCCTAAGCTTGTCTCTCTGGCTTTTGACTCCTGACCAGCTTTGACTACTCTGCTCTATTTGGACTGACTTGCCTTGTCCTGCTATTGCTGGCCTTGCCCCTGAACTGCTTGACTGTGATTTGGAATAGTCCTGGTATCCTGATCTGATACCCAGCTGCCCACGCCCTGAACTGCTGACAAAGGCAGCGGCCTGTTTTATATTGACAACAAGGCATGGAAATGACATTTGATGGTAGAAGGTGAGATGGACATTAATGCTACATGGTCTGGAATTACCATTAGAGATGGGCAAGAATTGTTTTTCAGTTCACACATCATGAGAACATGTCTGTTTTTTTCAATGCTGAATGTTAAAGCAATGCCCAGAAAACTTCTGCAATTTCCTGCAGGTGTATTTGCAAATGTGCACATATTCACACATGCACATTTCTGGAAATGCATGCTCCTCCACAATTTCATGTTTCCATGCATTAACCTATGGGGATAAGTACATTTTTAGGTGCGTTTTCTTAAAAAAAGGGGGAGGGCATTTACATTTTGTTCTAACTGAAAAAAAGAAAGAAAAAGTACCTGTGCTTGGGAATGCAAATGAGGTCAAACAAGCTGGGAAAAGGGATTCAGAGAACATCAATAAGATTAAATCTTGCATGTTTGTCCATCTCTTCTATTAGCATAACAGGCAAACAATGGTTCAAGTGTGCAGTGTTGTTTTGTCTCGTATAACAGGCAAATGTTTCTGAGTAAAGGAAATATTTCCAACTCTTTATTACACCATCAGGAAATTACACCATCCATATATGCCAGGCTGCCCCTTGAGATCGGCAGGAGAGGCCCTTCTCCGGGAACCCTCCATGAAGGAAATTAGGAGGGTGGGTACTCAGAGGAGGGCTTTCTCTGCGGTGGTGCCTAAGTTATGGAATGCGCTCCCCAGAGAGGTCCGCCTGGCGCCGTCGTTATTTGTTTTTCGGCGCCAGGCGAAGACCTTTTTATTTAAGCGGCATTTTAATTGTTAATATTATTGGATTTTATCTGGCCAGGGTGGCTTATTTTATATTGGTATTTTTATATTTTATAATTATTTTTTAACTTATTGTTGTAAGACGCCCCGAGGCTTTGGCAAATGGGGCGGCATAAAAATGTTTTAATAAATAAATAAATCTTCTAGCCTACCTTAGTAGGGTGCACAAAGTCTTTGTTTCAATAGATGTTTTTGCCTTACTTAATTAGGAAGCGTGGGCTCCCACCCATGAAGTTGGTACTGTGCAATTTTATCTTGCAAGTGGCAAAACTATTTTCTGGTTTTAAGTTGCTTTTTAAACACTTTGTTTTCTAAATTTACCCCTTAGTTTTTAATCTCTCAAGAGATATTTCCATAATCAAGTTGTGCAAGAATGAACTCTCCCCCTACACACACACTCATGCACACACACCCCACACCTACACAGCTCTTTAAAAATGAAAAGCTGAAGTAAACAAGGTATCAAATGCAAACAAGAAACAATTTCTTGTAACACCTGGACTTTTTTTTTTTTTTTTGAAAATCTAAGATTATTCAGACTTAAAGTCAGCACTTTTCTTTCTCTTTGAAAAACTGTTTTGGTGTCTTTGAAGAAATTATTGACATTCTCCTCCCACAGCAGCCCTTTAGGTTCTTACATTCATCAGTGACTCTTCATATACAGATAAATACTGTTTGTCTTTTAAAGTCCAACTTTTTTAAATGGGCAGAACCTACTTAGTGGTGAAGTCAGCAGGTAATGCCTCTTTCTTTTTGCTCTCCATAATTTCTAAGGCCCATTGCTGTATAGCAGAGTAACACAATTTTACAAGTTTTTAAAAAATGTATCTTCTTCCGATTTTACAATTATAGACCTCACTTTCCCTGCTTAAAAAAACCCTCTCCAACAGAAGTGTAACAGTTTAAATAAATGATAAACAATCATGAATAGGATGTTGCAAAGCATGTCTCATGTAGAAAAGCCAGAATATTTTGTCTTTATCCTCACTTAAATCTTAGCACCATCATGAAAAAAGGAATAAAATGGAGTATTTTTACTGCTCCGATTTTAAACATAATGGTTCAGGAATAAACAACATCTTTGTTGTAGATAAGTATAATATGCCTAAAGGGACATGTAATAAATGAGCACTTGTAACCATGGCTAGAAAATGTAATAACATTAGAAGGAACACAAGTCATGGCAGGCACAGATGTGGACACTGCACCTATGCTTCTGTCCCATCAACTGAGACTCTCAACCTCAGCCCAGAATTCATACATAGCTACTCCAGTGAGCAAAACACCTTCATATGCTGACATCTGCCCCACAGCAAAATGGTCATTCTTTCACCACTAGATTATGACCCTGTCTATGCTCAGGCATTTGACAGCATGTGACCAGGTCTTTCACAACTCCCAAGGTTCTTACTGTTGAGATTTTAAATGGTCTTGGAAATGGTTTTCTATTATGTTTCATATTGTATTTTTAATCTTTTAATCTTTTCTAAAATGTCCAGAGAGCTTTGGCTACTGGTGGTAGCAATGTAAGAAATCGCCATCATATAGGCAGCAGCATTATGGAAAGATGCATCCTAGGAAATAAAAACACAGGCAACACCCTTGGTCAACTCAGTGGATTGGTAGGATGACTGACCCGCTGCCCTCAACTCAACATAAATTATGAAATGACCTAAGAATGAGGGAGAAAAATGGAAGCCATTTCCATGGGGGAAGAAAACCTTTAGGATATTGAGGTATGGCATAGCTCCAACCCTTCCCTAGAGCACTGCCAATCCCCCATAGGCCCAAGAAGGAACAGTTTTATCAGCATCTATACTAGTGACTGTCAGAGATGCAACAATTGAAAGAGCCCAGGAAAGGTGCTGGACCTTGAAGAATAGCAACTAGAACAGAAGCAACATTTTTCAGAGGACATTTTTCTTCTCCTCCCCTCCCCTCCCCACTTGAGCTCACACTAGCTGGACTTCCCAGTCAATACATCCCTGGGTGTGAGGATGTGAGTGCAGGAAGACCAACTGAATACTGAAAAGGAATGGAAGCATGGAGAAGAAGGGGGGAACATGCCACAACAGTTACTTTAACCTTTTATTTATTATGATTTGGAACATTATAATATTCTGATTTCAAATCCTTAATTACTAAGGTGACCTAAATAAACTCTGTTATATCCAATAATTCCCGAGTCAAAATCTGGTAGCTTTCACTTGGATTTTCTTTTGCAGATGTCAAGTTTACTAAAGTTTGATCCCCTAATATGAGATCAGGATAAGCCTCACAGTTCAAGTGGTAAACTCCAGATTTGTTTGCAAGTGTTACCTGTTCACTGTAAATAGGTACATATTTATTCCTCCTTCTAATCAAATGTATTCTATCTTTGTGTAACATTGAAATCAACAATCCATACAATGCCTGTCCTTCCCTCCTTCTGAGGTTCAGGCTGTGAGTGCTTTTGGCTATCCATGAGGAGGTAGCAGCAGACTTGTAGGTTCCTAAGATATGCAGGACAAAACATTGTTTAGGGAAAAAATAGCCCAATAAGAACTGTGTTCAGTGGGCAGAATGCTGACTGTTTGGAATAGGGAGAAGAACTTGGGGGGAGGATGGAATTGAGTAGCTAGATTTCTAAGCATTAATACTTGCAACACTTTGCTGTAGGTCTAACTTGTCAAATCACTTTGCAGTAGTCTTCTAAGTATATTTTTTCAACAATTCCAAACTGATAATCCTAGAGCTAATCCACCTTAAAAGCAAAATCATCTAGAAATTATTAAACCCACCACCTTTGGAATTGTTATTAAATATTTAAATATTAAATATTTAAATAATTTATTAAACCATAAAAAGATTCAGAATTTTCAGTTTAGGAGATTGGACTCCATGGATCAACTTAAAGGCGAGTTTGTTTTGCTGAGTTCAGTCTAAAAAGTTTCCAGAATATTTGCTTTAGTTCTCCAATCCCACAGACATTTTTACATTTCTCAGCTTTGCATTGAAAGCAGATATTTAGATAATCTTGTTGACATTATATGCATGTTTTTGAAGATTTGGGTCACCAAGGGCTGATGTTAATAATACATTGTCAAGATACAATTGTTTTCCCATCAATAGATCAAGCTAATTTGTGTGCACGTACAGATTTTCTTTTACAAAATGCTTCACTTTATTGGCACAGTGACAGAGTTGAACATTGGTCAGAGATTATGTTTCCTTTTAGTATTTTTTAGAATAGCATCAGTGAATAACCAGTAGTTCCGAGTTCCAAGATGCCAGTGAGGGATTCTCTGAGGATTCTTTGGAGGAGATGTACAGAATGGAATTACGGCACAGGCCATTTCCCAGTCCTAAATTGGTTAATTTGTGCTTGAAAGCTGACTTGAGAGCTGTTCTTGGTAGAAAAGTGGGGTGCAAATACATAAATACTTAAGTTGAGCTTGGGCTATTGGTGGTATAGAAACAACAATGACAACAACCACAATACTACTAATAATGCATTCAAAGAGCAATGAACCAGGTTTCCTGAGTAGAGAACCCCCAGTTCTCTGATAGAAAAATGCCCAAGCATTTTCAGGAAAAGTTCTCCTCTATTTCCTACCAACATCTGAAGTGCATTTATAAAAATTTAGGTGATGACTTAACTAAGAATGAAATAAATATATCTAGCATGGGAGCAGAAGAGGACTTCAGTGGGGTGATCACAGGCTATGGAAATCCCTTCTAGTGGATTCCTATCCATATCCATCTTGGATGATTTTTGTTCTTATGGGAAGGTCATCTTGTTCCAGTAGTTCTTTCGTCTTTCGACTTGATCATTTCCCAACCTTCTGAGCTATTGATGGTCAATGCTTTTAGCTGGCTGGTGGTTCCTCCATTGCTTGTTTTCATTTTTATATGTTATTTTACTGTGCAGTGGTTTTATTATTGTCAAGTGGTTGGGGTTTTTAGTATGGACAAACACCCATCCACATAAATAAAATGCAGGCTAGTTGCAAAGCCCCAGAGTTTTGGCCGACAACTGCAGCCTTCTTCAGCACCACTTCTTAGCATCTCATGCCTTTCTGGGGGTCGCATGGGAAACAAAAGCTTGCTCAGCTGCTTGGTAGATTGGAGCCTTTAGTTACCCCACCTGCTGAGAAAAATATAAGATTAATTATCTTGAAATATTATTTTGTTTCGTATATGGTAGAAAGTTGCTCCCTTCAACAGTAACATATGAATAACCCTTCTCTACAGAATTGCAATATTTTGCTTGACTGGATATTGCCTTCTGTTCTTGAGAATATACCTACGGAAGGTAGATGGCAGTTGCCTATAGAGTCTTACGTAGTTCTGAATTATAATATGACTATATATACAAATCATACCACAATAATTATTTTTAGTATTAAGAGATAAGAACTCCTTTCTGCAAAAAAAAGGAAGGAAAAAAAAACCCTGAAGTGCTGTCATCCTGGCACCATAAGCCATTTCTCAGAGTATGCAAGTATTGGAATGTGTACTCTCTGTCTCTTCCTTTTTTCTCTTTTTGGTAGTTAATTATTTACTCTTTGTTAGCAAATCTTCTGTGCAACTGTAAACCAGAGTAAATTAACTGAGTTATAGAAGCAGCATTTGTTTGTTAATTATTAAAATTATGCCACAGGAAATGTAGTTTGCCTTCACGTTTAATAGCTCCCCTATTGTCCTGGCACAGGAGGAAAGTTTTCTTTCTCATTAGAGGAAGTGGCAAAGCAGTTCTGTAATCTGTATCCCGAGAATTAAGCAAAACAAAGTAGACTCGTGCCACTGCAGAGCAGGCTTCAACAATATTTGTTCTGCAGGAAAACCTAAACACATCTTCCTGTCTCAAAGGATACATTTACAATGATTCGAATAAGAATGTACAACTCAGCCTGTGCAATGATTCATATAAGAAAGTGGATATTAACTGCAGGCATTTAGCCTTGAGAGCTTGAATAGGAGCAGCCTGTTTGTGTCCATTTATTTCAAACATATTTCAAAACAGCATTCAGGATCACAATGCAAAATACATAAAATATCAAACATCAAAAAAGAAACAAAGAACATCTCAATCAAAATTATCTCTATGCATTAGCCTTTCCTGAGTTGGCGCTCTCTAAATGTGTTGAACTAAAATTCTCAAAACCACTCCGCCCCTCTGCCTGTGAGCACTTAATTCATTTTTTTTAACATGTAGTCTAAAGATTATTACCTTAATTCCTGACTGTCTCACTGATTTACATGCTGCACGACAATTACTGCTACCAACTATCAAACAGGTCTTTTCACTGATACTGGCAACCCTTTTTGTTTGGTGAGAAAGCTGTTTTGTTGCCTTGCTGACAATATTAATAATCTTGCTGCAGTTATTAGGAAGCATTTTAAAATAAAGTAAAGTAACTGCAGGGAAAACCCAAACAAACAATACAATTTCTGTAAGTTTGTTCTGAATATACTCACAAGAAAAAGAAGAAGAAACCTTGCTGAAAGGTCTGTGCCCCACATATCTCAGGTATTCCACTCCTGTTTCCTGAAATGTACAGTTCCACCCATGTTCATGTTAAGGGCTTGACATATGCAATTCCTGATGGGAAAAATCACACACACAGGCACAATCATTCAGTAAGTCTGGGACAGCCTTTTGATTGCTTAAATCAAAGGTGCAAGAAGTGCAGACTCCAGAATTGGTCACCAGTGGGGAAAGTGAGAGGAAAGGGGAACAGCTGTATATAGTGTTCCTTCTTTTTTTGTTGGGGAACTGATCGAGGTGTGGTATGGTGGCATCAACAAATGTGATGTTGTGACATGAAATAGATGTCATTGCTTCTGTTGCTGAAAGACCAAGATCTGTTACTGCTAGTTATTGCTGTTTGGTATGATAAATACATACCAAATGATATGTATCCAGTAATTATGGATAAAAAGTAGACATAAATCTCTCTTTTGCTACTTACATAAATTAAACAGTTTGCTTCCAATTAGAACTATTTCCGACTAAACATTTTTGTATATATGTGTGTGTGTGTTGTGGATATGTTCTCTGTGGAAGTACTCAGACTAATTTCAGAAAAAGAAAGATTCTTCAAACACACATTTTGAACAGTTAGAATTGCTTTTGATGTTCACCTGTGTGACAAGTTCACTTTTTAATCAGAATAAGCAGTTGCTACATCATTAAGGCAAAGTAAACTGTGAAAATCTGAGAGGTGATGAAGTAACAGCCTTGTCAAAGGTATAGAAATGATGCATACAAGCAATAAACCACTACAACATTTCAAAATGTTTTTTGTTTTAGAGCTCTCGCCATCTAATACTTCTGAAATGTGTGCAGACTCCCTTCATACAAGGATGAATAATGCAGGTGCCATTATCTGAGAACAAACCTGTCAACTGTTATGAATGTATGCATTGAATGACACCGATTTCAATCAACACAGAATTCCCCTTTCTATAAATTGGTCCTGAAGCTGTTCATTGGTTTATATATTTTAAAAGGGTTTTTTAAAGTGTAGAATGGAAAAATGGGAAAATCGTCTATTTCCAGGAAGGCCTAGAATGGCTGTTGTACATTATACATAATTATGCAATGTCATATCTTTAGCATACCTAAAGATAAGCATCCCTAAAAACTGTTCTTCCAACTTGACAAACTGTTGTTCACTATGATGACTCACTCTCCCCAGTCCCATCCTTCCTCTCCCAGTGACCCATTTTTCTCACCCCTCAGAGAAACTAACACACACTGTATAACCTCCATCTGCCTATCATTATCAGAGTATGGTCTGAAGGCACATGAACCATCCAGCATGTTGAACCTGACCTGAGCTTGGAGGCGAGAACATCTGGCCACCTCATGTAGTCACCTCGACTTCCGTAATGGGAGAAAGTGGCATATAATGAATGAATCAATCAATCAATGACTAAAACAAGTATCATTATACCACCAGCAATATACTGCTTGTCCATTTAGAACTAAATCCTGAATCAAAGAAAGCACTGCAAAACAATCAAATCAAAACAATTAGATCAAAACACTGCCGATGTTTTACCTTCTTCTGCCATTTTGTTCATTGGACTTTTCATGATTTCCCTTGCCTGTCTCACCTTCACCACTGATATTATGTAAAACATTCCTCCGTCAAAAGACCACCATTGTGAACAAGTGCCATGGGATACATTTACTGTCTCCAATTTTCCTTTATTCATCTGATCTGTTGCACAGAGCCCATAACTGATTCATTCCGAGGCTTTATCGGATGAATGAATGGGATGTGAGGCAGAGAATGAGATACACAGATCTGCCCTTTCTTGCATTTACCAGTCTCTTAATGAGAGTACTGGCTCCGAGGGCAGGGTGTGAGCAATTCTACATGTAATATGGCATATTAGGTTGCAGCTTAAACCACTTTTCTAAGTGCAAATTTATCAACACCAGACTTCTTGGATGAGCAGGAATCCAGACTATGTGGCACAGCAGTGGCATGAGCCTAGCCAGCAAAAAGCAGAAGGAATTTTCAGCTAAATATTTGTATAAACTGAATGATTAAGCTGAATGATGACATTAAACAAACAGGAAATGAACTATTTGCTTAGCAAGCTTTCTTAAATATGTTCATGGTGTCCTGGTAGCTGAAGTCTCAGTTAGCCCCATGGGGAGATTTCTACATGGCACAAGACAGAAAGAATGAAGATCTGTCAACAGGATAACTTAGTCCAGGAAGATTTAGTCCAGCTTAGCCTATTAGGAGACAGCTGCAGAGAGAGAGGGTCTGCTAGGGAAGGCTACAGCAGCAGGGTCTACAGTAGAGGGCAGCTCCTGATGGGGGAAGTGATGGGTGAATTGCAAGACTGGCTCTGGGATGAAAGTAGCCGTGAGAGAAGCAAGAGGCAGAAGTTCCAACCCCCATTTTCCCTGAGTCTGCTTGGACTCTGCTCAGAGAAAGGAAAGGAGAACGTCGACCTACTGAGCAAGCTGCAGGAACAGTCATCTTTCAGACTGTGGGTAGACACATCAACCCACCAGCATGTGGCACACATGGCACATCTGCTTGGAGCCATGCAGTTCAATAACTCAGATGCCCCCAAGACTGAGCCCCATGCTATATACAATAGAGAGGAACATCTTCAGGTGGCCTTAGCAGCAGATTGCTCTGTGGTACAGAGATCGTCTTCAGCTTTCAGATGGGAGGTAGGGGCCCTCTGTGATTATGTTCTATGCAATCCGTTTGTCTTAATTGTAGAATCACACCCACAGAAACCTTGGGTAAAATAAACAGCATAGTTAGCATGCTAATCAGCAATCAGATGAGCCACACAATATAGCTGATGAACACTTTCAGAATAATTCATAGAGCAATTTGGAACTTTTAAAATGGCACATGACAGAATCTGAGGATGATATAAATGGCTTTCTGTATGTATCTTTTGTGTACACGTTCTTTTTTCAGCTTTCCAGTGTGGTCCATCTTGTAATAGAATGAATTTAACTGTAAGAATTCAGTTTTGAACTATTTGTATTAATTGGTAAACTTAATGGAAAGAAATGTGTGATGAGATCATCTTGATGTATAGTTTCCATCATTGCTGTTGGTTCAACAGCAATTATGTCTTTCTTCCTGATTGCATGGTATTAGCTCAATCAAAATAAATATAAACGAAATTAAACCTGATCATTGTAAGCTTAAAGGAATTTGTACAATGGCTTAAAGAGATTATCAGGAAATTTACTGAGTCAACAAACAGCAAACTCTGTGGGGTACATGTGGATGTTTGTTTCTTTATTCATTTATATTTTGGGACTGGAAAGAAGAAAGCAAAATCTATATTTGCTACAAGCAGATTGGTATTGCAGACTCACTTTCTGGAAAGTAGATATGTTTGTGTACCACTAGATATATAACCTATTGTGGATGATAGCTTAAAAGGGAGAATAGACCTTGAAAACATTTCAATCTGATAACAGAGGAATCTTTAGGACTAGAGAAGTCTGTTCTCCCTTCAATGATATGGAGCAAGGAATGCTGAAAAGACTGTCTGACACTCCTGCAGCTGTTTCCTTAATCGAGGGGCTAACATTATTGCCAAAGCGAATCTTCAGTGGTGGCTAAACATACCCTTAGGGGGAGTTTTGTGTTTTTTTTAATATTTTGAATTGTTGGCACTGGGCAGATTAATCTTATTATAAGTTAACATCAAACAAATCTACATTACAGTTTTTTATTTTTTTTAAATGAAATGAACAGCTTTCTAAATTGTATTAAGTTGTTTGCACTCTCTTTCCTATCCTCCTTTAATGCCTTTTCAATGATAAAATCTACTTTAATAAGATCTCTTTTTGAGATCCATATTAATCATGTCTTTAGAACCCAGGCACACACTCTGTTACATTTCAGGTTCCATTAAGTGCCCTTGAGGTGTAATTATGCCTTTAATTTCACATACTGTGTCCCACTGCATCACCATTTGTTTTCCAAAGTGATTACCACTCTCATTTAATATTAAAAGGATGAGCTATCAGCATGATTTCCCTGTGTCACTTTAAACAGTTTGTGGAAATAGAAGGTCCAGAGATGTTGCACAGACCACTTTGATTCTCAGTAGTGCTGAATATCTGAATCTTGATTAGACCACAAGCACCGTTATATATAATTCCACTTTGGTTGTTGTAAACATGGCAGAGTATAGGATAGGATTCGCCCTACATCTACCAATTATAGACCTTGTGGCACTGTGCTTGTAGATGGGCCTGATTCTGGAAACAACACTAGTGCTGCTAGCATTGTGGCCCTCACATGGAGCCAACTCTTACACATGGAACTGGCCACAGGATGTATTCCAGAGAATGCCTTTAGCTTGATGGTAGAGCATGTATTTTGCATGCAAAAGGAAACACCTCTGGTTCATCTCTATTAAAAATGCATCAGGAAATATTTCTGTCTGAGGCTGTAGAGGGAAACAACCAATCACTGTAGATAATACAGGGCTGGAGGACCCTGATTCTCCAAAATAGTTGTTCTCTCTCAGTTAAATAATAGATGTTGGACCCAGGTAATGGGAAGAGGTATGGATCAAGCTGGCAGAACCTTCTACTTCTGAAGGAACACAGTGGCAACTAAGAGCTTTCATTTCACGCCGTTCCCAATGGGGCTTACAAATGAATCATTTCTAAAGTCAGTATGTCACAGGCAGCATTGAGGAGAAAGACTGAGGACAGAGATCTCAGTTTTTCAGAAATCCTCTTTGTAATGTGCTGTACAATTTCTCATACATCAACCACATCCTTAGAAAAATAGAGGGAGAAACTAAATGGACATCAAACATCTCCCATGCTCACTGAAATTCAATGCATCATATTCTTTTAAGATATTCTTCTAAAATTTGACAAGCAGAATAAGGTAGCAGTTAGACTGCCAGACGGCTCAGGAGACCCAGATTTTAGATACTTAGTCTAACCCACCTCACATGGTTATTGTGAGTTAATACAATGGAAACAAGCTGGATCAGGCATGTCCCCTTGGGTTCTTTTGAAGAACATGGGGTATATGTGTGACAAATATAATTTTGTACAGAATAAAAATACTTATTTTGTTACAATTGCTAAAGATGTAAATATCTATGTTTACATGCTTGTTGATTGATTATATGAGTTTTACTAAATTATTTTGATCTGAACTTTTCCATTTTTTTTTCTCAAAATTTGGTGGCTCACAATACATGTTTGATCAAGTATTTTATATTTTGGGCTTTGCTTGCATCAGATTGAAAATATAGTTCCCCTTCCTCCCACTTCTTTTTAAAATACAAGTTGGGTCTAGATTTAGACGTAATTCCAATTTGTTGTTGTCCTCACATGCCCCCAAGTCATTGCCAATTTATGGTGACACTATGAAAGAACACCCTTGAAAATGTCCTGTCCTTATCAGCCCTGCTCAGCTCTTGTAAATGCAAGTCTGGCTTTTTTATACTTCAAGTAGGCTAACTAAAAACAGTGGGACTTATAATCATGACTAATGTGAGTCCCACCAATTTCAGTGGTGCTGCTCTGGATCCAAATGTGTATAGTTCATTCCTTTTTGACCTTATGCCATCTGTGAGGTGCAGTGGTTAAGAGCATGAGACTGGGACTCGGGTAACCTGGATTTCAGTCCCTGCTCAGGCATGGAGCCAGCTTGTTGACTTTGGGCCAGTCACAGACTCTCAGCCAAACCTACCTTTCAGGGCTGCTGTTGTGGGGATAAATTGAGAGCAGCAGGAGGAGAATGATGTAAACTGCTTTGTGCTCATAAGAAAAAAAACAGGCTATCAATCCAATCACTCAATCAACCAATATGGAGTCACTGGATGGGTTCAACTCTTCCATTAATATGACCACTGAAATGTAGTGAAGAACAGGTGAACATATCTTTCATATCCTTATTCAAAAGAATGGTGGAAACAGGGTCTGTATACATCGTGTTAATGAAAAATGATGGCAAAGCACTTTCTTGCTGTAAGTTTGATATGCTGCTTTTCCATCAAAGAAAGTAGACAGCATTATGTAGCTCGAAAAAAGTGACCAAGTACATCACATTCATTTTGGTGGTGTTGTCATCAAACATGAATGTCAGGTGGAGGGCCGTAGTTTAGAAAACTGAGGTAAATTTCAGGGCATAAAAAGTCTTATGTACTTCTCCTTGCCCCTCCTTCAGATTGCATATATTTTGTTGTGGAACTGGCTAAAGGTTACTGTCTAGGATTCAAAGGGACTAATAGAGAGTTTCTCAGGGCTAGCAAGGCTTTGGACAGAATTGCTTGAATGTATCAAGGAGCTCTTTGGATCTTTGCTTTATGCCAAGATAAAATACTCTAATTTATGAGAAAGTACTGCAGTGGCCTTACACATATCAGATTTTATTTATTTAGTAATACATTTAATTAGGAATATGCCTAAATTGCTGTCTCAACTTTTGCCACCATATTTTGACTACAGAAACTTGCAATATTTTTGAGGGAATAAAATTATAATGTGTGTTGGGGGTAGCGGGGACTTGGGCTAAATCCTTTCATTTTTTTTCTATTTTGCTTTGTGAAGGCAGTAACCAAAATGCCTATATTTGACTGAAACATCATAAAACAAAACAAACATTTGCATCTCATTCTTCAATCGCAAAGAATTTGTAGGGCAACTAATAACCAGTTGGCAGAAAACATCAATGGTAAATATTAAAACCAGATCCAACGAGGTTAAATAAACATATTAAAACAGCAACAAAAAGACCTAAGCCAGGTGCCAGGGACTTCAGCCGACACTGAGCAGGTAAGCTAGGAGAGCCTCTCTGAGGAAAGTCATTCCAGAGATGGAGCATCACAGCCAAGAAGGTTTATCTCATGGCAGCACCATGGCATCATCATTGTGCAGGCATACAGAAAAAGCCAGACAATGAGTTTGGGGCTTCATTTAGAAGTCTTTAGTAGAGACACAGACAAAGAATGAGGCATACAAGAACATCTCATGACTGCGTAAGGAGATCTACCATGGGGAAAGACATAGGGAGAGATGCGGGGGGAGGGGGCATGACCCTGCCAAATGGGGATAGAGGCATCTCTTAAGTGTATTGTTTATGGATGGTCCATCATTACATTTATTTTTTTTAAACAGATCTACACTTTGAAAATTCAATATCCAGCAAGTTCACAACTGGAAAGAAGTGGTCCATACAGTGATAGAAATAAGCCTGCTTCTGTTGTTGAAAGGGATTTTAATGGTTGCATGCGGTTTATTTCTTTTATTGTTCTGTTTTTGTATTTTAAATTCATTGTATGTGAAGCTTTAATTTAGATGCTGTTTTAATCTGTGTTTTATTAATGTTAGCTGCCTTGCTTGCCATTTTTGTGTGAAAAGGCAGGATGTAAATGAAATCAAGGCATTCAACATCCCTAGCTCCAGAAACATTTGCTAGAAGATTGACAGAGAAGCCACAGAGATAAAGCAGCAGCTCACATTTTCTGTTGCTACAGAAGGCCAGACCGCTCACACACTCCTTATTTTCTGGGCTGTTTCATTAGGATCTCTGAATATACCCATTTCTTATGCACAGTAATGGGAAGACTTTGGTGTGTTGCAAGGGCTGAGCTGGGGAATGTGGGAATAATCATGAGAGTTTGAAAAATGTTTCATAGACAGCAGTGCAAATTTCCATGAAACGAATAAAGACACTGTATTTGTCTTTCTGTCATCTTATCCATCTATCTTTCTATTCTATTCTATTCTATTCTATTCTATTCTATTCTATTCTATTCTACATCTATCAATCAACATATTCTGCACCAGAGCAAATAAAATACTTACAAGTGCATTCATTTGCTAATCTACAAGATATATGCAACATATTCAGAGGTAGAGAAGATCACTGTGCTATTCACTGAGGAATGAAACCCTGCTCTTCAGCTATTGGACCTTCTTCCTACCTTTGCACATATATTTCTGACAGGCACGAAAAGGTACATCCAATACTGTAGTGTAAGGGGAAGCCCATTCATATATTTCCATAGTACATGTGGAGTTTTAGATGAGAGCCTTAAATGCAGTGATGCAGCAAAGGGATATTTCTGAGCGCTTCAGTTCAAAGTGATTGAGAATTTATCTTTGACTTAGTATTGGATTAGTGAAAAAAGAAAAAGAAAAAATAGGGCAAGGGCACATAAATAACAAAAATAAATGAATAACTTATTGACACTTTTGTACTCTTCAGCTACTAGATTAAAAAATATGGAAACACATAATCTGACTTTTAAACAACATCGGGAATTAAGTTTGCTTGTATATGTGTCAGCAGTCCCCACAGATCCATAAAGTAGTGTTAAAGCTGTTATGCTTTTAAAAGGATATTAAAACATAATGGACTGTTCATTTATATTGCATCGTATTGATATTTTACCTCATTATGTTTTGGGCACAGAGTCAAGATAAGGTTTATAGGGGCACCAAATAAAAATTAATTCAGCCTCATAAAGAACATTGTTATAATATTTATTCTACTAACTGTTAAACACTTTATGAAGGTTATCTGATTGAAGCAGTGATTAAATCAAGAGAACATAAAATCAAAGATCCACTTAGCTTTGGGGCATTTTATTAAACAAATATTAAATGTAAATTTAAAAATAATTGATTCCTTTGAAATACATTCCCCTATAAAGCATTTGGTGTGTTTGTTTAAATGGTAAGAGAAGGCATATTTCACAGGTGATCATATTATACTTACAGAAAAGGGCTTCTGTGCATACTCAGTGGAAGAAGGCACTTTGAAGGAAAGGAATTCAAAAGTTGGAGTAGGCTTGTTGTCTCTTGTTCCAGGGGGCAGGCTGAGACCAAGGGATGGAAATTCAAGGAAAGATATTTCCTCTAAACATTGGGGGAAACCTGGCATCAGTAAGAAATGTTCAATAGTGGAACAAACTGTCTAGAATGGTGATGGACCCTCCTTTATTCAAGGTATTTTCATCAGACTCAAGTCAGAGATGCTGTAGATACATCCTGCACTGAGCAGGGGCTAAACTTAGGGGTGGGGGAGAAACTGCATTCCCAATAGAGCTAAGCTGAGCAGATGAAAGATGGGGTCCACCTGCTCACATGTAAGGCCACTTAGTAGCTTACTAGTGGTGGGTGGGATGGATGCCAGAAAGACGATAGAATCCTTGTTCTCTCACCTCTCCACCCACTAGAATGCTCTGAAGTTCTTCCTGCTTTGGGTATGGCAGAGAGGTGGAGATAGGAAGAACCTATTATTGAGTTCCCCTTCCTGGAGCCATAATAGTGTCCATTATGGGAGGCACTACTGGGAAAGTGTTATTGAGAGAGGTCTTGGGAGAGAATATCTAAAATAGCCTACATTCTTTTTGGATATACCATAGCCTCTGTTTGCATTTTTATCTGTATTTTATTCATATTGTATTTTTAACTGTTGTAATTAGTTTTGGATTGTGTTTTTTATCTTATGATTGTGAGATGCCCAGAGGTGCTGTGTCACAATAGGCGGCATGCAAATGTTTTAAACAAATAAATAATAAGATTGCCTTCCTATAGCAAAAATCTCCTTACTGGCAAAAATAAAAATGGTACTGCTCAAATCATTATAATGCAGCAAATTCAGGCTTGAATTCTTCTTTGTTGTTATTTCTTTCTGAATAGACTTCTAAAAAATAAGGGGGAAACATACAGAAGATAAAAAAGAAATTTTGAGATAATTAACTTGGTCACATATAAGCCCTGAAAAACATCAAGATCTACAAGCAAATTAATTTCCTTTAGGATTAATTTCTACACACAATTTCACTAAAAGGTGAAGAGTTGCATTAACAACATTTAAAGGTCCACCTGTCTGTGGGAATATCACTGTTGTAGAATCTCTAGTACACCAACATTTGATTAACAACCAGTTAGTTATTTTTAAGTCAGCTGACAAAGATCCACAGGTAAGAATGAGCCAATCTCATTGAGGTTCTCAGCTTTCTCCATTCATTGACCAAAGTATATTTGTGCACATTTTAGAAATGGACACATTTTTTTTCTACACAATTTCAATTGTGCCCATGCTGTCAAATGGATTAGTGTGTGTGCATGTGAAAGTGAAGTGCTCTGCAACTGGTAAATGTATGGATTTTAACCACAGATTGTGTTCAGATCTGTGTTCCGGAAAGTGCAAACTGTATGTTGATGCAAGAAAATATGAACTCAACAAATGTCACACCAATCTCTGTCTTCAAGAGTTTCTGCACCACTGTGATAGCAACAATAACAAAGCCATAATAATTTTATTTTTGGGTACAGTATTCTATAATGCAAAACCAGTTATAGTGAAGGTAACCATGAGTGGATGGATGACAAAAATAATAAAGAAGACATTAAGGAAAGAAGGGACTGTGACTTCAGTGGCAGAACCTGCTTTGCATGTAAAAAGCTGTAGGGCTAGGAAAGGTTCTTGCTTGAATCCCTGGAAGAACCCTGCCAGTCAATGTTGACCTAACTGGACTAGACAGGTGAATGGACCTACTCAGTAGAAATGGTGATTAAAGGACTTGGAGACAGCACACATAAAAATGCTCAGGTATCTCTGAGCTACAGTAAAACTACCAAGAATAGGCAATGGAATAATTTCTATCTATAGGACATCTTTTAGGGCAGAAGCCCTCCCATGGGGGCAAATGACACTGAAATGCATATAATTGAACAACAATAACTATTCCAATGAGATAATAACAACAAAAGTTCTACAGAACATCAGCAAAAGTCAGAACCAAAATTGTTGCTATAATCAAATCTGATAACATGGGGTCTTCTTCCCCATTTTCCCTAAATTTGTCCAGTTTGTTTTAGATCTTAGAGAAAAGGTTATGCATCCGTGCTCATGTTTATAATGCTTAATCATAAGAAAAGGACATTACATTAGGAGTGGGAGCTTGGAAGGGTAAAGCTGCCCCTCCTCCACCAATCCTGGTCTCATGTTCTCCTACTCCTGATCTCTTAAACTTGGCTAGGGATGATCCAATTGCTACATCTGGACTGGCCCAGAATATTTGATGCAAAGCCACATATCCACAGTAAATCTGTTTTATGTGGGTGCCGCTAACTAGATTATTCTTTAAAACAATTCTAGCACATTTTTGTTTTTATCTGAAAAACTTTTAATCTAAAAAATAAATATTTCTTTGAAGAGGTCTAATCTAATATCTACCGATTGTACTCACAGTGGGAGAAGTGGATAGGAAAACAATAAATCTTCTGTGTTCACAACACTTTCTTTTAAGACACCAGCAGCAATAACATTAGACTCTCCACGGAGACTTTAGAAACATAATGTCATTCTGGTACCCACGCTAGAGGTTCTGACTCCTCTCTCTCTCTCTCTCTCTCTCTCTCTCTCTCTCTGTGTGTGTGTGTGTGTGTGTGTGTGTGTGTGACTTGCAACATCCTCCCAGCCCTTCCCCAAGTCACAGTACTGCAGCAAACAATTCTTCTGGCTAACTAAACTAATCTATAACCTGTTAATTGCATCTATCATTGTCTTGTTATGACTCATCTAGCAGGGTGTTTACAGGGGCTGCCAGCCAGAGAACATAGCCAGGCAATCATTTTCATCCTGAACAATTTCTGTCCTATTTAGGCTGGTGCAAAACATCCCTTTTATTCAAATTGCTGATTACAACATTTAATTCTCTTCACTGAGGAGGAGGAGGAGGAGGAGTAAATATAGATTTTCCTATATTGTGGAGATCTAGGAAAACAGCAAAAAGGCTGCCAAATTTGCATGAGTAACGTGCTGGTTGCTGCTTTCTTTCATATGCCAACTCATGCTGGGCTCTTTGTTGTACAAGAATGTGGTCCACAAGGGCCCTGGGGGCTAGCCTTGCCCATCACGATGCTGCTGACCCCCACCATGCTTCCCAACTCACATCTGTTTGATGTGCAGCACATCCAGCTGCACAGAGAACTTCCAGTCAACATAAAATCCATGTGTTCCCCTGACTCTAAAATCCATGTGTTCCCCTGACTCCATCTTCATGCCGTCCAATGCACACCTCTCAGGCAGAAGCTTTCCCCCATTCTTTACAAAAGGTGGACCAGTGTGCAGGTTTACAAATAGGCCTAAGATGAGGTTGAGGGTTGGAATAATGACTGCTGTCCCTACTACTATTACTTTTTCATGGCATTTATATTCCATCTTCTTGTCCTCTTGTAAAGTTCCCAAGGAGGTTTACATCATCCTCTTCCATTTTATCCTGACAACAACCCTGTGAGCTAAGTCCAAGAATGAATGACTGGCCCCAGGTCACCCATGAATGTCATGGTTGAGTGGGGACTAGATTCCAGATCTTCCATGGACCCAGTCCAACACTCTCACCTCCATACCTTGCTAGTTCTCACTGGGATGAATGTCTTCCCTAAAGCAAAGAAAAGGCAGCAATCTTCCTTTAAGAAGTGCCCAGGAAAAAGGGCAAGGGTAGGGACCTTTCCCAGGTGAAAGTTTCAGATTTTTTCCTAGCACCAGGTGTTGCTTCTTCTTGTCAGAGTTTTCGAAAGGTTGGCTCTTTTCTCATTGCAGTTCAGGCAGCTTGTCTTGAGAAAATGAGTACTGAGTCCAGGAGAAGGCATCATGCACCATCTGTTGCTTCCCAGTCCATTTCTACTCCCTTAAGAAAAAAAAGGAAAGAAGGGAAAGGCTTGCTGTGGAGGCTTAGAGTGGGGGGCAATTAGCTCAAAAACAAGCTAAATTCCCGACGAGATCAGAGGATGCTTGGCAAAATTTAAATTGTGCTGAAATTTGGTTAGCTTCTAAGTGCTAAGAACGGAACACAACTGGAGCATTACTTTGCTCGAACATTCTTCTACTGTTCAGACTATAAAACAAGGCTTTGCAGATGATGGAAGAATGTTTTTCAGCTTAAATCTATTGTTAGTTCATTTTCCTGACAAAAATACTGCTTAAGAGTTTACAAGCTGAGAAAATATCCCCAGTGGGAAAGTTGTCTATGAACTGGTAGCAAAGCCCAGTGATGCCCTGAGTATTTGGAGGAAAAGAAGTACAGATCTTGTCTGACCATGTAGCATGTCCTTCAATGTATACTTTCCCATACCCTAAGATCATCCTCAGAGGCCTGTCTCTGGGTGTCCCTGATGGATGAAGTTAAGCGAGGGCCTTTTCAGTGGTGGCATCCATTCAATCCATTTCATTTTTTTCCATTCCATTCCATTTTGATACTACCCCACAGCTGAAGCTCTCAGTTACTCTAGCTATAGAACAACCCCCCCCCCACCGCCCAGACACACACACCTCCTAAGGTTAATCTGGTGCCTACCCTATGGTCTTTTTAGTGCCAGGTGGAGATCATTTTAGTCCTTCAATATTAGCAGTTGTCTTAATGTGATTTTAGATCTTTGCACTGTTATTGGTTTTCATGTAACCCCCGTGAATTTCAGGGGACTACTGTATTAGAAACTCTAATAGCTATTAATGCTGCATTTAATAGTTTCATCTATTTTTATGCATCTTATTCAAAAAGTGTTCAGATGAGAAAAGCGTATCAATGAAGTTCTCAAGGGCAGCACAGTTGTTTTCCTATTTTAGCTATAAGATGGTAAAGGAGTACAGATGAATATTCTATATATCACTGTTCTATATATTTCCAGCACTATTCTATATATTTCCAGCAGTCCTCATCCTCCTTGTCACTCCACACTTTGGTTAAAGCTGAAGGGAAGATGCCATGAGGTAACTCTTCTCTCATCAGGCTTTTTTGAGCAGGAAACATGGGCAGCAGGGGTGGTTTCAAAGGGATGGAAATATGTGTGTAGATTTCCCTTCCCTTCCCAACAAAGCACCCATGGTCACCTCACAATGATAAGGTAAGCTTTAAAACACCCCAAAATCAATGCAAAAGAAGGTGTAAAGCAGCCTGAGAGTGAGGTAGACAGTGAAGGTTTTTTCACAGGGAAAGAATACTTTTACAGAAAGATAGCTATCTCAGGTTTTCTGAACCAATATAGCTTGAAATTAGATGCCCCAAGAATAATAAATGAAAGCATTTCCCCCAATATCTCAGTTTTCAAAGGAATCCGTATAACAGAATATGCATTGCTACCATGTATGCATATATACAAGGGACTCAGATAAAAATCTGTAGAATGTTATAGGATAGACAGACAGAAACTTGGTGGATCTGGAAAAAGATATGAGAGGCAGACCTGGGGAGCTTGCTGGTCTGTCTCACGTATTATTGGACTTCTGCAATCCTTGTAAAACTACCTTGCCAGCATAGGACATTTACATATTCTCTGACTAGGAAAGAACTCCAGGAACACCTCTTTGCCTGAAAGATTTAAATTACTGCTATGGAAAATGGGTGCTACTAAAATCCAAGCCTTAAAGAATAGATCTGCATTTACATCAACTTCATTGAATTAAGGAGATTCTTGCACCAGCTTTGCCAAGTAGGCGTGGGAAATGGTGCATGAGAAATATAATGCTTTCATTTGTAAGAAAATTTTAATTCGGCTCACTCTGAAGGAATGACAAGTTGTTCATTTCTATGAACCATCTCTATGTCATATAAAAGCTCTTTCTAATCTGATTCAGAGTGAATGGCAAAATGTATTTCTGGGGAAGCATGATTAGTATCTATGTTGATAATAGCATTGAACTAGCAATAACTGTAGCAAATGTTTACACCCTTCTATCCATTTTTGTCTGAAGATTCTTCTAGAATTTTCCATGTTTAAGACTCCTGAA